CTCATTCTGTGTCAGTAGATGAAGAGCTACCTTAGACTTAAAATGCTTCACAGCAGTTCATTTTATTTAATCAACCCATCTTTCCTTGGCCTTTCAATGTTTCCAATCTTTTGTTATTATGACCAAAGAAAAGCTTCACTGAATAGCCTTGTACACATTAGTCTTCTGTTTTTGGGGTACATATTAGTGTTTGTGTAAGTATATCTATACAATCTATTCATGAAGCGAAATTGTAAGAACAAAGAGAATGTACTTTTGATAGGCATGTCAAAGGACTTACTTTAAAGATTGTGCCAATTTACACTCCCCCAACTTATGAGTGTACCTGCTTTTTCCCTTTCTCACCATTATTGAGTCTTTTCAGTTGTTTGATCTTTGTGATCCTCTGATGGTTGAAAATGGGATCTCACTTCAGTTTTAATGTGTATTTTTCTCTTATTTTTTCATTTTTTTATATTGCAAAATATTTGATATATTCAAAGGAATATATATTACATATAAGTAGGGTTTAAAGTAAAATTACATAAAAACCTGTGTATCTACCACCCAGCTGAAGAAACAGATCACTGCCAATATCATTAAAGCCACCACTAAGTTTGTCCCCAGCTGGACAAAGGCAACTTGAAAATAAGTGGTCATGGTGACTTGAGGTGCCCAAGAATATGCTATATGAGTCTCCAGAGATTACCATGGCCAGCAATGTGCTATACAGATCCTGAGATTATTATGCCCGATGATACCCTATGTGGATTCCAGAGGTTACTGTGTCCAAGGATATATCATGAATCTTCAGAGGTCACCCTTGAAAGCAGCTCAAAACAGGATAATCTGGGAGAGCCAATCCAGTCCTAACCCCAAATACCTGCTACAAATAATCCAAAGGTCTGTGCTAGAGCTCTGTGGGAGGCTAACCCAGTCCCTGTGGCTCATAGAGATGCCATGTCAAGTTCTAAATACCACCAGAAACCTCGCTCAGCTTTGATCTTCTCACCTGGTATTCTGCTTCCCTGCTGTCTGCCACTCAGTATGCCAAGTATTAAAACTGGGTGTAGTTATGGAGGTTATTCATTTAGGATTATGCCAAGAACCCAGGAATGTCTGACAGTTACTCCAAACCCCAGCTCCCCACATCCACAAGAATATTACAGAGAACAACAGCAAAGGACAGCAAATCTCCACATCATTTTCTATACTTGAGTCAAGTGCCAGGGCTGAGCTTTCTGGCAAGTACGACTGAACTGCACAGCATCTTTTGGTCCTAGGCTAGTTCATCCTAAATTGTTTCTAACCAAATGCCATCTAGCACATTCCTTAGTGCCTTGGGAAAGTAAGCAGGGAAAGACATTCTTTTATTCACTCACTCACTGATTCGCTCATTCATTCATACAATTACTCTCTACTGCGTGCCAGGCACTGTCTCTGCATTTATGAAGCTTATTTTCTAGTGCAGGACAGACTTAAGAGTCACGTAAATGTCAAATAGAAATTAATCTGTGAAATATATGATGTGCTCAGTACTATGAAAAAGGTCCATTGTGCCAGTAGAGCATGTAGTAGAGAAAACGCAGCAAGAGAGTACAAGTCATCAATGCTATGGAAGATCGTGATTGTTTACAATTATCCTTTCTTTCTCTATCCTTGCCATGCTTGCTGTAGGTAGGGTGTACTTCCCTGCACATTTGACTCTGGGCTTGGTTATTGATTTGCTTTGGCCAATGGAATGTGCACAGATGTCAGGTATGCCATGACTGAGCAGAAGCTTTAAATGTGGTTGCATGCTTTGGCCCTGTGCCTCTTCCTCTGGACCTTCACCAAGAAACTAGCATGCCTTCACCTTTGGTCCCAGAATAAGAAGATGCATAGAGCTGAACTGAGGCCAGGCGAGCCCACTTGAACCAAACTAAGCTTGCTGAGCCCAGCAGAGCTGGAGCCATCGATAGCCCTCAAGTCATGTGGGCAAGAAACCAATGTTTGTTGCCACCAGCCACTTAGATTTGGGATTGTGTGTTACCACTATAAAAGTTGACAGATACAAATCCCTATTCTCAGGCTTGCCTTGGCTGTCTATGGCAGGCTGTAGCCCCTGGCCTGGCTGACATGTGAGACAACAGAGAGGCTGTAGGAGATGGCTGGGTCTTTTCCCATGTAGGAAAAGGCTCTGACATGTCTACTGTTGCAGCTTCTTAGAAGAGGAACGAAAGAGAGAGATGGACAGTTTTGCTTCCAACTAAGATGGAGTAATATGGACCAGATTTATCCTCATTCTTGAAACAACTAAAAACAGACAACATTTAGGAAATGACACTTTGTAAAACATTTAAACCAGTCAAGGAAGGACAGTGGGCCCTGATAGGCAGGAAAGAAAATGAAGTGAGCCCTGCAATTGCCCCAGTCTACTGCTTTGGCAGCATTTCCAGGCCGCAGTGCAGAGAGAGGGAACCAAGGCAGGACCTGGCAGATTCCCTGGGATGAGGCCTAAGAGCTCAGAAAGACCAAGGCGGCTAGAATTCTGAGGATGAGGACAGAGATCTGGACAGGAGAGAAGTTCACAGGGTGTGAACGTGGGAGGTCTGTGGAGGGTTCCCCCTGAGTATTCAGCTAGGTACTGGTGAGTGAATGCACATGCGGAAACTACCCAAACCTAGGAACTGAGCCAACTGAAAAGATTAAAGGTAACAGTGTCAGGTGCTAATTTTGGGTCGGAAGCAATCAATGCCTGTCATACCAGCCAGACTGGAAAACCTCAAGACTCACTCAGTGTTTGGTAAAGTACATTCTGGACCATAAAATAAGTGCCAATAAATTTAAAAGAATTCAATTCATATAAAATATGTTCTTATCACAATGAAATTAAGTTATAAACCAATAGCAAAAATATATTTAGAAAAACCTCAAATAGTTCCAAACTCTATAAACTACTTCTAGATCCATAGGTCAGTAAAGAAATCAAAGAGGAAAATTAGAAAGTATTTTGACCTGAATGAAAATAAATACACGGTGTAGCAAAATATGTGGCATGCTGGGGCTTCCCTGGTGGTGCAGTGGTTGAGAGTCGGCCTGCCGATGCAGGGGACACGGGTTCGTACCCTGGCCCGGGAAGATCCCACATGCCGCGGAGCGGCTGGGCCCGTGAGCCATGGCGGCTGAGCCTGCGCGTCTGGAGCCTCCGCTCCGCAACGGGAGAGGCCACAACAGTGAGAGGCCCGCGTAACGCAAAAAAAAAAAAAAAAAGAATCCACCTGCCAATGCAGGGGACATGGGTTTGTGCCCTGGTCCGGGAAGATCCCACATGCTGCGGAGGAACTAAGCCCGTGTACCACAACTACTGAGCCTGCGCTCTAGAGCTCATGAGCCACAACTACTGAAGCCCGTGTGCCACAACTACCGAAGCCTGCGCGCCTAGAGCCTGCGCTCCGTAACAAGAGAAGCCACTGCAATGAGAAGCCCTCACATGCAACGAAGAGTAGACCCCGCTCGCCGCAACTAGAGAAAGCCCGCGCACAGCAACGAAGACCCAATGCAGCCAAAAAAATCTATTTTTTAAAAAAGAAAAAAAAAGTTTTTTAATAAATAAATTGTTCTAAAAAATTTTTTTTGTGGCATGCTACTAAAGCAGTATGTAGGGGAAAATGTGTAACACTAAATGACTATTAGAATAGAAGTCCCAAATCAATGACTTAAGCATCTAACTTAAGAAACTAGAAAGGAAGAGCAAATTAAACCTAAAATAAGTCGAAGAAATAATCATTACCAGAGTAGAAACTAATAAAATAGAAAGCAGAAAATAAATGGGTATATACTTATTTCAAAACTTAACAAACTGTATACTTTAAATAGTTTTAGTTTATTGTATGTCAATTATACCTCAATGAAGCTATTTAATCTTTTTAAAAGTATCTTGGAGTGGGGGAGGAAGGAAGGGAGAATGAACGAATGAGCTGACCCTTCCACAACCTGAGTGAGAGAGATAGAGAACCGCTCCAGAGACTAGAAATCACTTATGTACTTGGCATTTTAATAGTTTAATACAAATTTCCCCTGTCTAGAGGTAAATGTAGGCACTTTGGTGACCTGAGCGTGATTAATCAAATTAGCATCCCTTATTATTAAGGGGAGGAGCTGGGGTTTAAGATGTAGCTCTTAACCGCCCCTTACATTACTGAACCCATAAATGAGCTGGCATAGTTTTGGTTGTAATTTCAAGTCCTCTGAACCCCAGCCTTACTCCTGTTGTTCCTGTCTCTGTTTACAGCATCACCACATATCTTCACCTTCAGATCTCACCTTCCTTTCACATTCCATAAGTCACTGAGTCCTACAATTAAACCTCAAAAATCCTGTTCCATCATTCTCTCCCGACCTTATGCTCCACCCATTCTGCTTAATAATCCCAAATGTACTAAGTTGGGTTTGTTTTTGGTATTCAGCCTTTCGTCCTCACACCTGCTGCTTCCTCTGTCTCTTTTCTGCATGGCAGACTCCTACATATTCTATAAGACTTAGTTTAAATATTGTATCTTTGATGAAGTCTTCCCCAACTTCCAAGAAAAATGGCCCCCTTTTGTCTGACCCCCAAATAATACTGCCCTAATGGCATCTACTAATGGCACAAGAAACACGATAACTGTAACCTGGGCAGTGAACTTGGACTCCTACAGTGGTTTGGGCTTGAAGAAGTCACAGAAATGCTAGTGTAAAGTGGAAGAAGCAGGAAGAGAGAAGGACTGCTTACATCAGAGGCTGCAGTACCATCTTTCTTGGGGACACCTAGACACTAAGAGCATTTTCAGAAACACAGCAATAAAACATGAAAAACAACCATTTTTCTTAGAATAGACATTAGTAGAAAAAAGAAATGTGTTCTGAGGATTTAGAAGCCCGCCGTTATCAAGCCTACCCATGTAGGAAAGAAATAATTAGCTTACTGGGGAATTCCCTGGTGGTCCGCTGGTTAGGACTCTGCGCTTCCACTGCAGGGGGCATGGGTTCGATCCCTGGTCAGGGAACTAAGATCCTGCATGCCATGCCACACTGCGAAAAAAAGAAAAGAAAGAAAAAGAAAAAATTAGCTTACTGACAGAGGGGCTTGTGTCATTGCAATGTGGAATATAACCAGGCGTTTTAAATGGGGGCTCGTGCAGCAGGGACAGGAGGAGACTGGCCATTTACTTCCACTGGCCAGTGTGGCCAAAAGCTAATTGAAAGCCCATGTACATTCTTTTTTGTTACTGTGGACATTACAATTCATTGAAATAAATATCTATCACTGTGGGAGAAACAACGTGGTGTAAGAAATGGAAGCCAGGAGACAAGTTTCCTAGTTCAGCTCTACTAAAAATATTTGCAACTGATTTATCTGGTTTGTTTGATAAAGAAAAACAATTTTAAATATCTTAAGATAATGATGCTTTTAAACTTAACTCTATAGATAATATTTATATTTCCACTATCAAAAGTCTCTGGCAAGTAATTTTTAAAAGTGGCATTTAATCAGAGGAGCATGTCCTAACAAGAAGCAATGTTCCTTTTTCCCCCGGCAGCCTTGATTCAGTTAATAATTAAATTTTTATTGAATGCTGACTATATTTAGAGTACTGAATTAGGTGTTGTTTGGACTGAAAAAGAAGTTAAAAAAGAAAAATTGTCCCCACATTGAGCCTACATACTAAAGGAGTACATTTAAGTCCACATGTTGACAGCAAATCAATTACAGTAACATTTCAGAAAACCCATCATTGTTAGGGAATGTTGGATGCTAGCTACCCAAATGAACTTTTCTTCTAAGGTAAACTTCTTTCACTCAATACCAAAAATTTATTCTAACTTAAGGAGAAAAACAATACTGGAGGTTTTTATGAAGTGTATATATTACCCATTAGTAAGGAAATCCAAAAAGGTTGCTATACTAGTTAAGAACCTTTATTTATAGCTCCAAGGTTGACTTAACTGAATCATTTGAGAAATACCTTAGGGAGTCCTGGATGAACCAGACCTAGACTTTTCTTCTTAAGACTTACATCCTAACTGACATAAAGTTCATGTTTCTCATCTCAAATCTTAGCAGAAGTTTATCTTTTACTAGTCATTACCAAGTCTAATGACTTCATTTTACAAATGCCAGACTCAGTTCCTGGAGGTGGAATGATCTGCTCAGTCACTTAGCTAGTTACTTTAGCTAGTTAATCTGGTTAGTCCTACAGCTAGTTATATAGCAATGTTACTACTCAAAACCAGTTCTTCTAACTCCAAGGAATGTGTTACTCTTGCTTTACCTGCCCCTGGCTGTTGCTCAGGGTGTCTAGAAATGGGGTAACTAAGCCTGTCAGGAGCCCTTCACACACGGCCCAGGCCCAAACGCTGCTCCAGTTCTGGACCAGTCTCAGGCTGCTGTCCATCCTGCGGTTGGTTAAGGCCTCAGAGTCGGATAGTGAAGAAACAGTCATCTCCAGCCTTCCTGGCTCTGAGTAATTCCTGGGTTACATGTATCCAGGAGGGTGGATGAGTTATGAGTTAGACATGTGGGTTTGGTCAAAACCGGGCAGTCCAGTTACCATAACAGAAACTCAACTTTTATTCTTTTCTGCACAGGGCATATAGGAATGCATTAGAGATATGAGTCAGACAGCAGTAGCAACTTGCGAAACTGCTGTGGACTATTCACAGAGTGCCTCTTAGGGTTGAGGTGAACCTGAAGAGCTGTTCAAAAGTGTCTTTAAATCTTAAATCTACACTTAATCAAACTCCTACCTCCCTTCTTCACAGTATCAGGTCCAAATAGGCCCTTTTTAGTCCTCTGGGAGCAGACTATATATCATTTAAGAGGGATCCAGTTTCATTGGGCTTAATACCTATTTTCATACATGACGCTGTAGGTATTGTTTTACCATTACCACTGACTCTTATTTGTAAAACACTGATTCCTCTTCACACTGATACCAAATGTCATCTGTAATTTTCACAACGCAATTTCTTCTATTCGGCAGTAACTCCAGACCCCTTAAGAATTTGCCTACAGGTCCGCACTCCAGCATTAGGGAAGAAAACTGATACATCTCAGACGGGAGCCCAAAGGTCTCAGTAGGTATTAATATAGTTGATGAGGGCGGGCAAGGGTGGCCCACCAAGTATTTCATATCTTCCACCAGGCTACAGAATGAGGGACCAAGAGCCTGCTTTGTTTGGGGGTAGGGGTGGATACTCCCTGAGAAGACATGTCCCGTAAGAGACAAAGGGTGACCATACAGCAGACCAGGTTTAGTCTCCTGTGTGTCAAACTCATAATCAGTGTTCATCTCTGTTGGGAGTGTGGTTGGTCTTCAAGGGAGTCCAGAACTAATTGCACTGATCAACTCACTGCTCAGGGCACTGCCCAGCTCCTGGGTCTTTGTCACATAGAGGACAGTGCTGGCCTTCTGTTCTCATGTGACACAGAATCCAGGTCTCCCTACTCTCAACCCAGTGCCCTGTCCACACTGCCTCTGTGCACCGTTCTGCCATGCGTGGTTACTTCAGTGACCCCAACGAGAAGAGAATAAAATGACTCCTAACATATTAGAATGTCTGTTCAACATCATACAGAGGCAATACACTGAAACACTTATTACACCCACCTTCTCATGGCAAAAGGACATTTATGTTTCTATGATGCATTTGGATTAATAAAAAATTTATCCACGTGCCTTTCAATTGATTCCCTCACATCCCCTGCAATTATATATGAGCATAAGCTTAAGTCTTCTTTAACCCTTTTCAGAAAACAAAAAGCAAAACCAAAACACCACCAGCTTGGAATCCCTGCTTCCTCTTGTGTCCTTTAGGAAAGAACTAACCTCTCTGAGTCATAATTTCCTTCCTCTCTCCATATACATGGAAATGATCTACCAACCATTTGGTGGCTCGTTTCCTAGCCTCAAAAAGAGCAACAGAGTCATGGTTACTTCTGCCAAATCTGTTTCTTTGTAATCATATTACTAGTTAGACTCTTTCAGATAGCAAGGAAGAAGCTCATCAGTGTCGTTTACAGGATGGTATCCACAGGGAGGGCAGAGGCTGAGGAACCCAACTCTCAGCCCAGTCTGTACCCATCTCAGCACTTCTGAGACTAGGTTGTCCAGAGACCCAGGGGGAGAAGAGAAATCTTGTCAGTCAAGATACAGAAGCAGTGCTGGTGATTCAGATGTGTGGCGCTATCTACTCATCTATTTCAGTGGCTGTTGGAGCAATGTTTTTTGTTCAAGTTCGAGAAAGCACGAAGCAATTAGTGGTATTTAGAAAATGATTATGAACAAATGAGGCTGCTTTCATAAGCCACGAGTCCTCACACATTCTTTTTATATGTGTGACATGAAGGTCACAACTTAGATCTAATTTTCACACCTGCCTTGGAAACGCTGGAATATCGGGGCCAACTGTGAGTCCAATTTGCAGGAGGACATACTCATACTCCTGGGAGAAAAGGCAAAAGCAACCTCAGAGGTGATGGTCGGATTCCTGGGGGTGGGGTGACTCGACTGAGCAGAGGATGCATTCAAGGCGGTGCCCAAGTCTTCCTCAAAGAGAATCAAGGGGCAGTTAAGCAACTCGGGCTACCTGTAGGCTGTGTAGTGGCGGAGATGGGGAAGGACAAACCTGGTCAGAGGTCATTAGGAAAAGCTGAGGGTCAAAAGCTGGAAACACCATCCACAATGGTCATTATCAAGGATGACAGGTCCACAGAGTCTAGGGTTAGGATCACACTAGATCAGATTGAGAGCAGGATGGGAATAAGTGAGGGGAACGTGATAGTTGCTGAGTCCAGGGAGTTGGCTGTTAGCAGGAAAGCATCAGGTGGCTTGGTTAGAGCCACTCAAAGAACCAGAGGCAGGACAGCCCAACAGCACTAACAGTGAAAGTTCTGCTCTATGTGACACTGGTAATAACCTTCAAATGCCCTCTGGCCTGGTTTCTAGGACGTTCTGGCTAAGTGAAATGTCTCTAATCATGAGGCAGAATCCCCAGCACTCCCAATCCCCGGACAGTCTTTGTAGCAACTGGACAGCAAGTGGCAGTCACAAGAGGAGGGAAATATGAATGTACAGGTGGTAGCAGGTGTTGCTAGGCAGTCAATAAACAGTGACAGGAATGTGGCTACATGCCGCCAGTACAAAAAGACCCAACAGCCACTAAAATTGTAAGCAGCTCTTTGCAGGAAACTGCTCTCAGCAGGAAACCCCTTTCTTCATCACTTTAGCAGAGCTATATTGTAACTAACTTCTAACCAGGCAGCCCCAGAAACCCCCATGTTCTACTCATCTCTGGCCCAAGCATACCTTTCAAATCTCTTGATCACACAATACTTTGCCTAACTTGTCGGTTCTTTCGTAGATCAAAGAAGTAGAAATGAAGAATAGGTAATTAACAGATGGATAGACCTCTTCCCTAGCTTCCCATTCAGTAATCTCCTGAACAAACTGTGTGACCCAACGGGTGTGAAGAAGATAGCATCTATTCTTTTTAATGGCTGAGTAATATTCCATCGTATATATGTACTATACCTTCTTTGTCCATTCCTCTGTCGATGGACATTTAGGTTGCTTCTACGTCTTGGCTATTGTAAACAGTGCTGCAGTGAACACTGGGGTGCATGTACCCTTTTGGACCATGTTTTTCTCAGCCATTAAAAAGAAAGAAATAGGGACTTCCCTGGTGGTCCAGTGGTTAAGACTTCGCCTTCCAGTACAGGGGGTGAGGGTTCGATCCCTGGTTGGGGAGCTAAGATCCCACATGCCTCGTGGCCAAAAAACCAAAACCTAAAACCAGAAGCAATACTGTAACAAATTCGATGAAGACTTTAAAAATGGTCCACATCGAAAAAAATCTTTAAAAAAAAAAGAATGAAATAATGCCACTTGCAGCAACATGGATGGACCTAGAGATTGTCATACTGAGTGAAGTAGGTCAGACAGAGAAAGACCAATATCACATGGTATCGCTTATATGAGGAATCTTAAAAAAAAAAATGATACAAATGAACTTATTTACAAAACAGAAAC